GAGTACCATTCAGTGAAGATGTTACCATGACAACGAGCATCACATGAGTCCAGTCAGAGTGAGGCGAGCAGCAGTGAGCAGTGCATGTGTTTTTAATTCCTGGAAAATGACGTCAGACTCAGGAAAACGTACTACATATACACAGCTCTCCCACCTATCTGCCAACTTATGGCGGCCACGCTCAACCTTGTTCTCCACAAGAACGCGATCACCAATCTCGATTTCAGATCCCTTTGCTCTCCAGTTGTAAACATCAGCTTGATGCTTTTGTTCTTTTGAAGTGTGGGCTTCGGCCAGGGATATAGCTGTACGCAAATCGTCTCGCAGAGATTCAATGTACTTAGAATAGGTGACATCATCGCCATCCCTCAACACGCTCTTAAAGACAACATCAACTGGGATGCGTGGGACTCGGCCAAACATAAGGTAAAATGGAGGACACCCAGTTGTTTCGTGTGCTGTACAATTGTACATAAATGTTAGTGTGTGAAGCATCTGGGGCCACTGGTGTTTGGGACGTGCAGGAAGTGCCCTAATCATATCACCCAAGGTACGGTTGAATCGTTCAGTCGTTCCATTACCCATTGGGTGGTAAGCTGTGGTGCGTGATTTTCTCACCCCTGAGAGCTGCAAAAGATGACTGACCAGCTTGTTCTCAAAGTTAGCACCCTGATCAGAGTGCACACGTTCTGGAAAGCCATAGAAACAAAAGTAATTGTCCCACAGCTACTTAGCAACGGTTTTTGCCGCCTGATCTAGACAATGAAAAGCGTGTGCAGGTTTTGTGAAGTGATCAGTGATCACTAAAACATCAACTGATTTGCCGGTGCTGTCTGCAGCGGACCAGAAATCTATGCAAACAAGCTCTAAAGGCGTTGTTGTTTTGAACTGGAAGGACGAGCTGAGCACGTAATCTGGAATCTCCTATGTTTAGTTAATGGGTCCTTTGACACTCGATACAATATCCCATTCTCCAGTGTCAACTTCTCCTACTGTTTAAGGAGTTTCAGGGCATTTTGTGACACTTTGGCCTTCTCTCTCCTCAATGGCCTGCATTTTCGTTCAACAAAGCTAATCACGCAGTTCAGATCTACATCCTCTAATTGCTTCACTCGCAATTCCTCAATTGGGTATGAAAACAAAGTGTCTTGACCAATGTCAGACAATTGCTGCACATGATTAGCCAGATGAATTGCTTGGGTGCGAGGTCCAGCAAGCCAATCAATATGGTTATCAAAAACAGCAGAAATTTCAGCACTTGAAAGACTTGCAGCCTCTCGCTGACCCACAACAGCTTGCTGTGGCAGTTTCTGTTGTTTTGAGAAAAACTGCACGTTATGGCTTGCAGAAGACGACCGGAAAAAGTCTTGGACAGAACCATTGGTCATCCTCACTGACTCATTCAGTAGGTCTTTGAATGGCTCGCGAATGAGTCGATGACTGATCCTTTCCTTGGCAAATGGCACTCGACTCAAGGCATCAGCCACTACATTTTTAGGACCAGGCACATATTTGATGTCAAATTCAAATGCAGCAAGTTTAGCGACCCATCTCTGTTCGCACGCATCTAACCGTGGCTTAGTCAGAATGTGCATCAGCGGGTTGTTGTCCGTCCAAACCGTAAAGGTATGTCCTTTAAGCCAGTGGCCAAACTTGTCGCAAATGGCCCACTTCAAGGCCAAGAACTCGAGGCGATGTGCAGGGTATCTGCTCTGTGCTTTGTAGAGTGACTTACTGGCGAAAGCAATGGGCCGGGCCCTCTCTTCTCCAGGAACAACCTGTGAAAGGATGGCACCAAGCCCATCAGAAGAAGCATCGGTCGACAAAATAAAGGGCTGACTAAAATCTGGGTGTGCCAATATAACATTAGCAAGTAAAGCACCCTTGAGATGTTCTAAAGCTCTTTCACAAGCAGGGGTCCAATCTGCGGCAGTAAGTTTCCTTTGGGGGGTGGTTATTACTTAGCTTGTACCTCCTGCCTCTCTTTGTCCCCGAAATAAGCTTGAATAGTGACTTCGCTATGACAGAGCAGTTCTCAATGAACCTCTGGTACCACATAACTAGCCCTAAAAACGACTGGATTTTCTTTGCAGAAGGTGTAACACCATCTGGGCACATCAAATCGTCAGAAGAAACACCAGCGATAGCGCTAACTTTGGATGGGTCAGTGGATATTCCTTTTTTGTTGATGACATGTCCAAGAAATTGCACTGAACGCCGTAGAAAATGGCATTTCTTCGGTGAAAGCTTCAGGTTATTTGTCCTCAACCTCTGGAAGACCAATTCCAGCCTCTCAAGAGCCATTTTTTCAGTCGGGGCAAAGACCATGAGGTCATCAAGGTAACAAAGGAGAGATAAAAAATTTTGGTCCCCAAAAATGTTTGTCATCATCCTCATAAAGCTAGCAGGTGAGTTGTATAACCCTTGAGGGAGTCTGTTATACTCATATAGACCAACTGGAGTGGTGAAAGCCGTGTACTTTTTATCCGCCTCGTGCAATGGAATGTTATAAAATCCTGAGGTCAGATCCATAGTACTAAAAAATGAATTCCCACCCAAAGCAGCAAGGCAGTCTTCCTGGTGTGGCAGGGGATAGGCGTCTTTCACCGTTCTGGAATTCAGCCAACGAAAGTCAGTGCAAATGGGGAGATCGCCATTCTTTTTCCAGCACAAAACAAGAGGAGAAGCAAACTCGCTAGTTGATTTCCGAATGATAGCTCTCTCCTCCATGTCATTCAAAGCTACACGCAACTTCTGGTAATGGGCTGGTGGGATGCGTCTATATGGCAACCTGAAGGGTCTTTCATCTACAAGGTGTATTCTATGGACGAAGTCTTTCACCTCGCCACAGTCAGGGGCTTGTCAGGAAAAGATGTCCTTGTAGCGAATTACAAGTTTGCAGATGTCCAACTTGCACTGCTCTGAGACCTCGCATTAGTTGAGATCGATGTTTTCCAGTCCATGCTCTTTTAGCTCCTTGTACAACAAGTTCTTGTCATTTTGTGTGCTGACAATGCTTTGGCTACCAGAAGACAACACAGGTATGTTCTTCTCTGTAAAAAAATCTTCAAGTGCCAAACACGGGTAGACGTCTGCTATTTTGGCATTTCGTCTGAGCGTCACAGGTTTGTCACTAGGAATTATCTCCCAGTACCTGTCTGTTTCCTTGAGTCTGTGTACGACATATTTGATCACATTCGTCCCCAAAATCAAATCGTCCACTTGGCCAGGGACTATTAAGGTGGGCACAATGACAACACATCCATACACAGTCAATGTCAAATCACAGACACCTTTGGGAAAAGCCCTCTGACCTCCATATCCGATGAGAACAATGTCAGGATTGTTTTTTATGGTGTCATTCAAAACTTCAGCTGCAATAAGCTTATCTGCAACTGCAGCACTCAAGGTGCAGGCCATAGAGCCAGTATCCAGCATGGCACTCAATGTGAATTGACCATTGATAACTACAGGAGTATAAAAGAGACTGTCTGAACTGTTAACATGTTGTGTGTTCTGTACAACTATTTTAGAAGTTTCAGGAGAGTTGTCACAATAAGCAGAATACACAGACTCAAGATCAGGTACTCCCATGAGGGTATTTTGACTAAAGCCTACACTTCCCCTCTCTGAAAGTAGGCCGACTCGTTTCCTGAGAGTGAGGCAGATTCCCTGCTAGACATGGGAATAGACTGTGCGTGCTGCGTAGCAGCTGGACAATTTTGTTTGGTGTGACCTGGCGGGACCCAAAGCACAAATGTTCAGCTCCACAGTGTGAAAATGTTGTATGCAACTTATCTTTGCAAATGCGACAGCCTTGGATTTTGTTAGGGGCACTGCCGGATGAGTTATGGTGAGGATGGCGAAGATGCTGCTCCCTAGTGGTTAGAACATCCAAAACCTTGGACAGCATATCTCCCATGGGATTGAGACTGGATTGGGTGGCTGGATCTAGAGCCGATGGCCTGTGGGGCTCCACTGCCTTTTGCTTGAGGGTCATCAGTTCCACAGTTGAATCACCTCCACACTCATTATGGTCACAAACAGCTACATTGTTTTGTTTCACATTGGAAGTTGTCTTAGCAGCAGAAACCATCTCTGTTTTTCTCTCTCTCTGGAACTCATTAACCTGTTCCTGCACTTCCTTAGCAGACCATTACTGAATGGGCTTGGTCTTGAAAACATAAGCAAGGCCAGGATCAGGGCAGTTGTGAATAAACATCATTGCTACCTCCCTACCAAGGTCTTCCATGTGTTTGCCCTGCATCTGCAGAAGACACTCATCAGCGACGTCCGCAGCTTTATTAACACAAACCCAATAATCTATGGGACACTCATTGTATTCTGGTAGTGTATTGTAAAAATTGGCAAGTGGCATGCTAGAGTATGACATAGTACTAGAGTACTGTTTTAAAATGTCAAAAATTATGCCAGGCTGGCAAGTGATGTCCAGTGTTGGGTCACTGCGTAAAGCTATCTTGACTACATCCCTAGCTCTGCCTCTAAGTCTACTCATGATTTCCTCTGCATGGTCAGTGCTTTGAAAATTTCTCTTCCTTAAATATAACTGCATCGTTTCTACCCACTCGCCAATGTCACATGCATCTGAACCATCCCTTCTGAACATTGGTGGATCTTTTACATCAGTATTCAGAATAACATTAACCCGTGATAGGTTGAGAGATGTATTATCTACATCAGCACGTGAGGTACAATCAACTGCAGAATGGGAACATTCCTCAAACTTCCCAGAAGATAAGAGTCTGGCAGTGACAGTGTCACCTATATGTTTACCCAGTTCTTCAACCATTGCTCCTAACTCCCCAACTACATTGTCGGAATCTCTAGCATTTTGGCCAGGCTTAGGCGTAGAAGAGCACTGAGGTCGCCTATCAACGGTGTATGTGTCTGTCAAGTCGATAACAACTGAATGTTGTGCTGAACATTCCCCTGTATCTGCAAAGTGTACTGCACCCTTGGTTTTCCCCCCAACCAAAATAGGGCTGTCTTGACAATACTCCATCGCAACTTTCCAAAAAAATCTAAGGATTTGGGCAAAACATCCAGAATGCTCTTAACTCTGAATGAAAATAATCAACTAGAAAGTATTTGAGAATTATGAAAAAAATTGTCGAAAACAAAAGAAAACAAAATTTCGGATATATAAAGTTACAAGCATGAAATAAAAGTGATCTATAAAATGTGAAGAACCAGTCCAAAACTTCTATGTCAGCAAAACTGAAAAAACTGAAAAGAGTTTACTGAGTTCTGGTTAATGCAAACTTGAGTGGATTACTTGAAGTAGAATTCTACCACGCTACAACATCACAGGTCCAGAAGAAACTCGCAGCAGAACCAGCTGTAATGATGAGGGTGAAAGAAGGAGTCACGGCACCATTGTAACCCCACTGTTCTGGTCCCTCAATAAGGCAAGTGCAACAAGAAGTTGGTTCTGAGCTTTTACTGGAATCACGTCTGCTGGAGCCTGTTTGAGTATAATCAGAGGAAATACAGCAGCTAGTCAGTATTGTGCTTCTCCACTCTAACAGCATATCTCTTCAGTGGCAAAACCGGACTGAACTTGCAGTGATTACACTATGAATCTTTACAGCATAGACTCAGCTGTTCAGTATTAAACAGCTCAGCTTATTTGGTTGTACAATAAAACAGCGAAAACAAAAGAATACAACACAATGTGGAATACTGCACAAAGCGAAAGAAAATACAATATGCATACCTGTTTGAGTATAATCAGAGGAAATACAGCAGCTAGTCAGTATTGTGCTTCTCCACTCTAACAGCTATAAGGCACCAAAGAAATCACATCAGTTCTATATAGCATTCAGACCACATGGGGCACAGAGCTAGTATAGCTAGCTGCGGTTGAAAAATAGTTACAGCTCGTACTTAGCAACCTTTTCAATAACACAAACGAAGCAATACCAATAAAAACTAAAAACGTACATACTGTGTTACTTCAATGTACTGATTATTGCCTGAAAGTACAACAACAAAACTCATTAATACTTAAATAGAGAGGAGAAGACGTCTGAGCCTACCATATCTCTTCAGTGGCAAAATCGGACTGAACCGGATATAGTAGGAAGCTGCTTTATAAAATACGCAATACTCCCTCTGACCAGCGGGTGTCGCTGTGCGCCCATAGAAACATGCGTTCGATTGTATTCTCTTTTAGAAATAATTTTTTTAAATTTGTAATTTTAAATTACAAATTAATGTGTCAAGCCCGGCCAGTAGAACCTCTGCCATAACCACTTTAGGGTCTTGCCCTCACCGATGTGTCCCACGCCAGCTACCCCATGCACCACACTCAGCACTGTCTTTTGCAAACTGCGCAGCACCAGCAACTGCCATGTGCTTCCATGGCACCGGTTCCACCCACACACAGCAGGGACAGCAGCCCGTTGTACATCTGTAGACTTGGCATTTGGTGAATATCGATTTGCTGATGTGAGAATAGAATGTCTTTGCTGTCCTGTTTGTCTTTGTAATGAGCTCCAACAAGGTTTTCAGCAAACTGTCACTACTAGTTGGAATATTTAGCACATTTTCAGCAACTACATGTGAGGAATGCACAAAGACTGAGTTATTATTAATTGATAGGAGTGAGTAACAAAAGTCTGGGCTCAGTCACATTGAAATAACAGTATTGCAGTACTTCCACGGTGATTACATACAACAAACACAGAACAATTAACAGGGAAAATTTCAGAAACAAAAAGGACTAAATAAAAACGTTCAAAAAATAAAGATTAGTCTTTATAACTGTTGTAAGAAGTCACCAAAAGTTTTAGCAGCTTTGAGGTTTTTGAAAGTCACAACAGTATTTTTACACAGATTTAGCTCATTAGTTCATTTCTAAATAAGGGGAAACAACTTTACATTTTTAAATTTGCACTTGTGAATATTTTTGCTAGAAAAACTATATTTATTACATAATAAATGACTGTTTGTTTTATTTCATAACCACAAAATCCTCATATTCACACCAGTTTAAAAGTTAACATCAAATCCGCCCAAAGGCCAGTTTTGAGTTCTGAATATCAGGCCGGAATTGCTGTGGCTGCAGTACTTAAATACATGAAGAGCTGCTTCTGCTGGACCTTCACAATAATACATTTTGGTAAGTGTCTTTTTTTAATTCTGTGAATAAAGCTTTTCTCAGAGTAAAATCTATGAACTAGCCTTTATGATGCTTCTCTCACTTTGATCTACTGGTCAAGAAACACTTTACAGACTTTTCTCCAAGATATATTTTCTACAAAACTATTCCAGTCTGAGATTGCAGTATTCCTCTGAGACAAGTTCCTGATTACTTTGTTATTCTTATGAAGGCTGGGTGAAAATCATGTTCATCCTACAGCCAAAGAACAAGGATGTATATTTAAATCAACAGATTTCAATGTATATATTTTAACAAACATATTTCAGATATAAATCAGAAAAAAGAATATAGTTCCTCACCAGGGATTGATGAAATAAACAATTTCACACCTGGCCACCAGAGGTTTCCCTCTCCCTGAGTACTAGCTGTGTTTCCATAACACCCTCTCAGATCATGCCACCTGCATCTCCTCAATGCCCTAAACAGCTTCACCTCAAATACTCCCCAAACACAGCACATCAGTGTGAAGTATTGCCGATTCCTTTGTGTCTGTCTACTGAGTTTATACTGTTTTTGCAGCTCTTGTGTTTTAACACTTCCATCAAAATGTAATAATATTTTCCCACCTCTAAAACACCTTCTGAGTTATGATTATGTCCCTGTGCACTAGCAGGTGGAGAAAAATAATATTTACCAACAATATCATATTTCGCTGCCTCAGCATGCAGCATAATCCAGCACAAATCATTTATAAGAAACATTTTCAAAGCATTTATTAAGGAAAAGAACATTCATTGTCACGTATTCGGCCAGCCAGCCTCCAAACTACAATTCCCAGAATCCTCCGCTTCATCACATGACACCAGGAAGAGCAGCAGCAACCAATCGCCGCTCTAGCTCTCCGGAATACTGATCACTCTCACCTGTGTGTTTGTCATGTGATCTGTTTAGTTTAGTATATTAGCCCGGGCTTAGCATAGGACCTTTGCGAGGTATTGTTTTCTTGAAAACTACTGAGCGTTCATTCTGGTTTTTTGATCTCCCCTGTTATGACCTTGTGTTTCTGGATTGGTTTCTTGGATTTTCGGATTTGCCCTTTTGTACTGTTGCCTGGTTGGATTGATATCTGGTTTTGGACTTTTGCCTGTACTCTGGACTTTGATCTGCCTAGCCCTGTTGTGTTTGATCGCTTTCAGTGTATTTTGCTGTGCCTGTGTACCAACGACAATAACTCTAGTAAAGCTTCATCACTTTTTTACATCTGCGAGCGTCTGCTCTCTGGTCGCACGTTACAGAATACCTCGCCGCTTATGCAGATGGCGGATTTAGAAGCTTTTCAGAAGGCACTAATGGAACAAGGACAGCTACTCGGCAGACATCAGCAAGTTCTTTCTGGGGTAACTAACTCACTTGAATCGCTAGCTCAACAGCAAGCTGAACAACACTCTCAGCTAGCCCAGCTCGTAGCAAGCGTTAAAGGTTTAAGCAGTCAGTTACCGACTCTGAACGTCACTGAAACTGAGCTTAGCCCAGCTGCTCAGGATCTGAACTCTCTTGCTGTTTTTCCGGTTAGTAAGCCTGATAAGTTTGACGGTAACCCAGATAAATGCCGAGGGTTTTTACTCCAATGTTCCGTTTATTTTGATAATTCTCCCGCTAGTAATGACCAGGCGAAGATTTCCTTTATAGTTTCCAGGCTAGCGGATAAAGCTTTAGAGTGGGCTACCGCAAGCTGGAATAGAATACACCGCCTTTCGTATGTGCAATTTTTACGTGCATTCAAAACTGTATTTGACCATCCTTATGAAGGAAAAATTAGTGGGGAATTATTGGCTCAGCTCAAGCAAGGGGCTCGTTCCGTAGTGGATTACGCTCTGGAGTTTCGGACTTTAGCAGCCAGTAGTGGTTGGAACGAGGCTGCATTGGTGGTTGTGTTTAGACAAGGACTCAGACTCGACATCTTGCACGAACTAGCATGTAAGGATGACGACCTGTCCTTAGATGAACTAGTGAATCTGGCTATTAAAATCGATCATCTATTACAACATCGGGTCAAGGAGAACTATGACAAGAATGTCAGACGCAGTTTCACCAGATCACCAAGTACTACGGAGTCACTGGAAGCCCCTGAACCCATGCAATATGAATCAACACGACTAACTCCGGAAGAAAGGAGACGCAGGATGAGAGATCACCTTTGTCTATATTGTGGGAAGTCTGGTCATCAGATCAAGGATTGTGCTGTGAGACCACAAACTAGCAAGGCGCCAACCCTTGGAAAGCACGTGGAGTCTACTCCGCGTGCTAATGTGGTGAGTGTTCCCACAAAAGGGTTGGTCTCTAAATCATTTATGCTACCTATCAGTATATACTGTCATCCCGATTCTGTTATTGTTTCAGCCCTTTTAGATTCCGGAGCGGAAGGAAACTTTATTCAAGCCAAGATCGTGAAGGAACTCAACATTCCTGTGGAGGAACTGCCTAATGCCTTGAAGGTGGTAGCACTGGATGGAGGACCGGTAGGAGCCGGAACAATTTCCCAGATCACCAAGCCCCTAGCCGTCCAGACCAGTGCCCTTCATCAAGAGACATTGTCTTTTTTAGTCCTAGAGCAAACTGAATTCGAGATCATTTTAGGACTCCCGTGGCTAGAGAAACACAACCCCTTGATCTCATGGTCCGATCACACAATTACTAAGTGGTCAGATAAGTGTTTGCAAACCTGCATTGTATCCCCCTCACTCTCGGTTTGTTCCACATCAGTAGAAAGCCCCGATGAAGACCAGACCCAGTTCCACATTCCCCCTGCGTATCAAGACCTCAAAGAGGTTTTCAGCAAAGTTAATGCCACCAAGTTACCCCCACATAGAACCCATGACTGCGCCATAGATTTGATTGAAGACCATACATTCCCTAAGGCCAGAGTTTATCCTTTAACCCAGGAAGAACAGAAGGCGTTAGATGTATACATTCAAGAAGCGCTCGAACAAGGCTTTATTAGACCATCTACCTCCCCAATCTCTTCTAGTTTCTTCTTCATTAAGAAGAAAGATGGAGGACTTCGGCCTTGTATCGATTATCGAGCACTCAATAACATTACGAAGCCATATCCCTATCCGCTTCCTCTGGTGCCCGTAGCCTTGGAACAGTTAAAGGGGGCTAAAATATTCACCAAATTAGACCTCAGAAGTGCCTACAATTTAATACGTATCCGAGAGGGAGACGAGTGGAAGACAGCCTTTATGACCACTAGGGGGCACTATGAGTACCTCGTGATGCCCTTCGGGCTCTCTATAGCGCCCTCTGTGTTCCAGGCATTTATTAATGAGGTACTACGGGACATGCTAGGTCAATTTGTAATTGCTTATCTGGATGATATTTTGATTTATTCCCCAGACAAAGAGACCCATGTGCTGCAGGTTCGAGCAGTGTTGGAGAGACTTCTCGAGAATAATCTGTATGTAAAAGGAGAGAAATGTGAATTCGATCTAGAGTCTGTCAACTTTTTGGGTTATGTAGTCAGTAGTCAAGGGGTTCTCATGGATGATCACAAGGTCGACGCAGTGGTTAATTGGCCTGCACCCACTTCAGTCAAAGAGCTACAACGATTCCTAGGTTTTGCTAATTTCTATCGAAGGTTTATCCGAAATTTCAGTACTAAAGCCGCACCACTCACATCTCTACTCAAGGGCGCCCCTAAGAGGATCAGATGGAATGAGCAAGCCGAGAAGGCATTTCAAGACCTTAAGGAAGCCTTCACTACAGCTCCCATTCTCACACACCCCGATCCTTCCAAGCCATTCGTGGTAGAAGTAGATGCCTCAGAGACTGGGGTGGGGGCAGTTTTGTCACAAAGAGTTGGATCACCACTAAAGTTGCACCCAGTCGCCTTTTTTTCACACAAATTGTCAGCAGCAGAAAGAAATTATGGAATTGGGGATAGAGAGCTACTAGCGGTAA